TGTTGAAAACCAAGGGCTTCTGGGCCTTTTCCCTCTCTTCTATTTGCATTGCAAATAAATCCTGCTGAAAAATCACAGTTTAATTGCCGGGGAGATGAATGTCAAAACCCGTGATGTGAAGTATTTGAACTGCTGTGAATTGTGACAGAAATGATGCATAGTGCTGCGTCTTGCCTATGTCAGCCTAATCCTGGCTGCTGCTTTGGCTTGTTGAGGTTCAGGCTATTTTGCTTTCCAGGACACTGTAATAGGATGATCGAGGGCTGTGCTCTTAAGTTCAAGCCTTAGCCGGCAGGGCAGGCTGGTTGTAATGCTATATCTGAAATGGTTTGGTTGTGCTTTTGAATTTTGTCTTTGAGAAGTGTGTAGTGTTCTGCTGAACTTCGATTAGTCAGCATGCACGTGTATATGTTTGAAGAGCCAGTCTTAAAAGTAGTGGTGTTTCAATGCTAATTGATTTTTTTAGAGCCACCCTTCTGAAGGAGGCTGCAGGCTGCGTGCTGGAAATGCAGTGCACCCTCTCCCTGGGGACAGCTACCCGGAATGACCCGGTGTTCACCGCAGAGTGAGAACGTGCACACAACCAGTTTCCTTGCGGCGGTTGCCATGCAATATGTTCACACCTGGCTTACCTCAAGACAAATTGCTTGTCTTCCTGTCGCTAGAGTAGAACTATTGCATGCGCTTAGCTGAGCAGCACGCTGGCTTCTGGCCAGGGTGGCCTGTCTGTGTGGTGCAGGTGCTATAACCTTACTCTGCCCGCTGGAGCTGATGCTGTTGGCAGGGCTCAAAGTTCCACCTTACGATGTCTTTTGCTCCGAGATGCCCTAGCTGTGTTCGACACTAGTATAGCACCGGGACGCAACACAAGAGGTGGGCTTCACGCTCTGTGTGCTATTGTGTTTCTTTGATTCCTTCCTTAGATTGCCAGGTAGCTCTGATGCTCCTGGGCTATGGGGTTTTAGCAGCTGCAGGCTAACCCTGTTGGTGAAAGTAGCGCGCTGCTGCTGGCCCTGAATTCTTGCACCTACGAACCCACCATTCCCCAGCTGTGTAAATTAATCCAAATATGGGAGGCTACAAGTCTATGTAAAAAGGAAAATTAAAAGAACCTGTGAATGGATTTCTATATTCCTCCTACTCAGAAGGAGGAATGCTGCTATTTGGAGAACTATTTCATGAACTGGAGGAGAGGAAGAATGCCACCTTAGCCTACTCTTCTCTGTAGTGGTTGTGCAGCCTCCATCTATGTGCTGAGGTTTGCAAGACCAAGCGGTGTAACATCCTGCTTTGAGCAGGAAGTTGGACCATGGACCCTCTGGGATCTCTTCCAGCATGAATTTTTATCTCACTGGTGTTGCTGAGAATCTTGATACCGCATATCGATGTACACATGTATGTTCCAGTTCTGGTAATAATATCACCTCATAGCACTGGAGCTACATGATACTGTGTTTTCCCTTGGCAAGGACTCAGTGAGATAAAAGTGGGAAAAAAGCCTTCATAAAATCTTCCTTTCAGGTTTCCATAAATGAGAGTAGTACATTTCAGCTCTAGGTAGAAATTAGTTTGGTGACACCTCTTACAAACCTTATGGGTTTGGTTTTTTTCCTGACATAAATGCAGATTACGTTTAGAAGCGGACAAGAATGGGCAAAGGTTATAGAGAGATCAAGAGCCAAAAATCAATCTTTGTGAGAACTCAAGGAGGTGAATAGAAGCCTTATCTTTATGCAGGAAAGGACAATAGTGTTTCTATAAATAGAAAGTTAGTGCCTCTGAAGCAGGTAGAAAGAGTTTGATCTTTTAGAAAGGACAATCTGGAAGTTTGTCTCTCTTGAAGTCTTCAGCTTTGACTAGACTGTATTAGAAATCTGTATTTTAGCTGTGTAAAATGTTCTTATATATATATGTATATATTTAAATTTGGGAACCCAATTCATATGAGATGAGTTATAAATTGGTATTATCTTACCATAACTCGTTGTGAAACATACTTAAGTCCCTTTACCTTAACCAGTTACCGAGAAAGCATATGGCTTTATGCTTTACTCGGAAGCTAATTCTGTCTTAGCAAGAGCTACACTTTTCTTGCTAAATCCAGTGTGGAAGTAGCATGCACTTTCATGGCTTTCTGACACTTTTTGGGAACTGAGTTGAATTTAAAACATATGTTGTGGTGCAGAGTTTTTCCTCTGCTGATAACTGGGGGATTGTGAAGACTTAGTAGAATTTGTGCTCTCAGGACCAGAGGGCTTTTAAACAGTTTTGTCCAACTGCACCTCAAGCAAATCTGTAATGGTTGGGGCTTTGCACTGTGAGAACTGAATTGGTGGCTGCAACAGCAGGGGACTTCTGTTGTTATTATTCTGTTCTTCACTTTGTCTACTGGATTTTTGTCTACTAATTTTTCTTTTTGTTGCATTTCTGTGGTAGGGAAGAATAGCCCTTTTTGGATTGTGTAGAAGATTTTACACTATGATGACATCAGGTCAGTGCATGTGGTATTAGCAGGAAGAACCATGACTAATGTCACATCATGTGGATTGTTTTTCCTTCTTGCCCTTTACAAGTAGAAAAATGTGCACAATGTAGCATAGTATCTGTTTTAATTCACTGTATATTGCTCTCTTACTGTGGCAAGAAACCTTTTTGGAGGTGTTCACTCCCCTGTCTCTCATCAGCCCCAGCTCTGTTTTTCTGACCGCATGCATGGGCACGTTTGTTGTCAGTGCTTGGTGCTGGCAGAGGCTGCTTGCTTTCCTCCCCCACGTCACAGCTTCGAGATAGTAGCTCCTTGCAGTGGGCTGCAGCATGTATGTAAATGGCTTTTTATCAGTCTGTTCTTTCTGTGTGACATCTCCCACGATAACCACCCCCATACAGACTGTGCTAGGATGGCTCTTGCAGATTGATGAAATGCTGCATGTGTATGAATGTCGATGGATGTCAGGGCCCTCAGCCCCACTTTGCACCTAGAGGGATGGTGACTCTGAAATGCAACGGTTCTTAAAATTTATTTTCAATTAAGGGGAATGACTGGAAATTCAGAGGTAGATAAAACTGAGACAGAGCTAGGAAGAATATTTGTAGGCTGATTGTTCTAGCTTCAGCACTGGATGGTTTCTTTTTCTGTATAGAGAGTTAACGTCCTCTTTTCCTCTTCATTACATAGCAACAGGGTTAGGAAATAGAAGCTTTGAAATAATAGGAAAACAACACGTGATATAAAGCCAAAGACTTCAGAGATGGACTAGAAGACAAAGTCTGTTATATGTGGGATGCTGTACAAAGTGTATGTCAGTAGAAAGGAGGCAACACAAAATGGGCATTAGTTAAAAGCAGCAAAATGATCATCGTCCCTTTCCCCCTCCACTGTCAGTTTGAAGTAAATCCACTCCCTCTCCTCCACTCTGGTCAGGATTTTCAAAGGTAAAAGGTACTAATGTGTGGTCCTCCAAGATATAGGTCCTTGAGGGAATGTGCTGTGCGATTCTGACTTGGGAGAGGGCAGAAGGAGTGGGAAGCTACCTCTCAAGCTTACATCAGTGGGGCACTCATCTCAACCCACTGAACTTACTGCTCATATCTGGCTCAAATGTAAGACATGAGATAGGGAAACTCCTAGCAGAGTAACCAAGGGGACAAAACAGAAACGTTGAACATGAGAACTAAACAAAGCTAAGACTCCTAGGAAGCTGAGGCTCCTCCAATGTGAGGGCTCGTACTGCATCATCCATCATGGGGAAACCTGGCACCCTATTGCCAACTCAGACTCCTGAAATGAGCTGTGCCAAGGTGCTGTACCTCCTGGGATTGGGGCAGCCCAGGAAAGCGTGGCTTCTGGTACAGATGGTGGCTCCTCAAGTATCCTTTGCTGTATATTGCAGCAGTCTAAATGGCTTCCTTGGAGAGGCTGTCCAGACAGCTGAACTCTTTCTTCTTTCGTCACCTCTCTGGATCTGTGTCAGGAACACTAGGATTTTTTATTACATCTTACATGTTTTTCATTGGTAGTCGGGAGTGTTATTATAGATGAAATCTATATGGAAGCATGTGCTGAACTTTTTACGACCTGTGTTGGGCTACTGAGCATCAGTGCAGTTGTGGTTGATAGGTAGGAGACCTGAGTTTCTAAGTAGTGGTGTATTGTAGAGATCCAGTGTGTTATAAGAACCTATGCTGATCAGAGTAAGATTGGTATGTGGATGTGTAGCCTCTCCAAATAGATTTAGAGATATAAAGGACTTTGTACTGTGATAGCAGACAAGGATCTGATAATAAAAGATTTTCATGTAGGGACAATGGCTGTGGGTCTTCAATTAACATGCTTTTAGTTTGTGAGTGGGCTTGGATGTTGATTCAAGAAAGAGTTTTAGTAGTACAAAACATTTTTTATTTTTTTTTCCTTTCTTTGGAAAAGAGGGTGATCTTGTGGTTAAGAGTCTCTTGTGCCTTGCCAAGAGTTTGCTGTGTGTCCATGTGCAATTTGCATGTGCTCAGATTTTCCAAGAGGCCTCAGATTTTCCGACTTTGTTTTAGTATCATTTTCCAGTTTATTTTTTTCCCCCTCAAAACTGCTGCTTATTGAAAGCTTCACTTGGAATAGTGGATGCTTAGGAATTCTCAAATCCCGTGCCAGGGTATTTCTGAAACAGCACTTGCGTTGAAGCACCCAAAATCTATAGCTGTCTTTGGAAATATAGGCGTTAATTTCTCTGCTTGCTCATCCCTTCCAGAGGGATGTATGTCCTTTCTTCATAAAGTGTTTGAAAGGCACTGTGGAAGCGTGCAGTGGCACCGTGTGTTAGAGCAGCATGACAAAAATGCATTGCATGTGTAGGAATTATATTTTCCTGGGGGTCTTTTCTTGAAAGTCACTAAAACAAGGGGGAAACCCACCCATGGAAAGACTTCCCTGTCAGCTGGTAAATGAAGGACTAACATGGTCATACTTCTGTTGGTGGGCTCCAGCTAAAGAAGGTGTTGCCATTTTGCAGGTCTGTCACTGGAGCGCTCAACCAACTCAATTGCCTCACGTGCTCGACTGTGTGAAAGGGAGCAGGAAGTCATGGCTTGTTTTGAGACAGCGTGTGTCATTGCCCAGGTATACTTGCAGGAGCTTGAAAAGGTAAGAAAAAACGTGCTCAGGGTGTTACCTGGTGGCCTGGGTGGAATTTCCAGGGGTTTGAGAGCAAAAATAATGGGGAAATGCCAAGTGGTCATAGCCAATAAGGAGTATGGGAACAAGTTGGAAGGAGTGAGGTGTCTCATTATAAGCACTTGCAAAACAGCAGTTTATCTGGTCTCTGCCCATTTCCCCTGAGAATGAGGTCTGGAAACAATTTTTGCCTGTCGTAAAGCACTGAATACCTCAGATATGCTCAGGTTGTATCTCAGGTTTAGCCCTTGCTAAAGAGGGACTACAAAGTTTGCATAGCAAGTGCCAGCATGAAGGAACCTAAGATATTTTACATATCTGCCATGTAAATGATACACAGCAGTGGGTATTGAGATCCCTAGCAAGCTGACAGTAACGTTTTTGGGTCAGCCATAGTAGTTTTAACTGCCAGTGCTTCACCTTCTCCAAATGAAACTGGAGGAACCTGGATCATTAGTAGCAATCAAATGCTCAGTCCGTGGTTGGCTAGGAGGCCAAGGAAGATGAGTACTGTGAGTTCTCTACTGAGCTGTAGTACATGCCACTGATTTTCTAGGCACATGCTTAGTGGTCTCTGTAACTTTGCCTAGCTGAGTTTGAAGGGAACACCATGCACTTCCATGCCCTTCTTTTGCCACACATTATGCTTGACACCACCAGCAGCACTGAAGGCAATGCATGTTACCTGTTCACCTGTAGCTTAACAGCCCTGGGCCATCTGACCAGACATTTCTGCTCTTCTCAGCAGCAAAGGTGTGTGTCTGTTCCAGGTTTTATTTTTAATTGCATTAAAACAAGAAAAAAATTGGCTTAGTGCATAAATAAAAATTCATAAAGAAGGCAAACTAACAAGTTTTCTGCTCTGTTTGTAGGAGAAAGCTGAATGGCTATTTTATTTAAAATTAAGTACTGTCCTTCCCATGTGGAAGTATGAATACATGGCAGTACTGAGTGCTGTAAAAAGTTTTTACTGACAGCTTGTGTCTTCAAAGAAGGGAGTTTGAACTGTAATTCATTCCTCTTCTGGACACAGAGACAAGGATGCAGGAGTACTGATAGATGCACTAGAAGTCCATCAGCCTTCTCCAATCCTGGATGTAAAAACCTGCTTTGGAGAGTCCACACGGGGCAATTTTCAACAATGAAAGCTGTTTGTTACCAGTAAGGAAGCAAAAGCAAGAAGAATTTGATGGGAGAAGCAGAGGAAAGGCTAAGATTCTTTCACCGGGACTCCTGATAGCTTACTAACTCTTAACATATATTTATGTTGTTAAACTAGACATTCCTACTCAAACATTGCATTAATATTTTTGTGCAAGATGCAGGATCTACATGGTTGGAATAGTACTTCTGAAGCCTTTGATATTAATGCATAGCTTTCTACTTACTGTTTTAAAGGTTGGAAATTAATAAGGGATGGTGTTTCAAACTCATATTGCATGTAGAATATTGCATGGAAGTCACTTTATTTATTTATTTATTTATTATGTGCTATTTATTTAAAAATTAAATTGAAATGTTTTTGGATAGCTAAAGAAGGTAAGTTTTCAAGTAGTCTGAGGAGAAACCTGATGGCAGAAGCTAACATTTTATTGTTGATGTGTCTGGCTCGTGAGGAACCGACAAGTTCAAAGAGTTGTCTGTAATCCCAGATATTTCTCTCCTCCCCTCACAGACCTTCAGCAACACACATTCAAGGAGTATCAAGGGCAGCAGCATGACTTACTCTGAGTTTGAACTTTCCTACTTCCTGGAAGCAGCTCTACAGAGTGCCTATGTGACTCATTTAAAGAAGGGGTAGGTGGATGCAGATGTTAATAAAAATAGATAATGTTGCGTGTTTTTTCTCACAACAGATGAAGGCTTATTTCCTTGTATGTGTTCTGTTGTGACTTTTTTGCTTCTGGCTCACTTTGAGTCCTGTCAGTGTCCCTCCCTCCCTTCTATTTGTCTCTCCCCGTCTGTCTTAAGAGTCCTAAGCCTCGTTTTTCCAGACCCACAAGTAGGGTGGAGTAGAACAATTTTGTTGTCTTGACTCAGCTCTGTTCCCTGTGGAGATGAGTGGAGTTTGACCGTAAAAAGAGGGTGGAATTTACACTGCTGTGTGCTTTTAAAATGTTCAGCCACAGGGCCTAGTTTAGAGCTCAGTGAAGTCTTAAGGGTAGTTTCTGTCCTTTATTTGTTTGTTTGTTTATTTAAGGTCTTAAATGTCCTGATCAATACACTACATCTGTGTGGTTTTACTAGAGAGAATGCATGTGGGAACAGTGCTGCTCCAGGGTAGTTAGTATGCCTCTGAAATACAGCTCCCAGTGAACCTTGGAAGGGCAAGAGGAGTTGGTGTCTGCAAGCCAACAGTGAATTTCACCTGAGGAAAACCTTATCTAGAACAATAAAAAAGACACTGTAAATGCCCACTTCCAAAGGCCATCAGTGAGGCCACACTGTTGCCTAAAAGAAGCCGTGTATTCAGAACATAATGAACTCTGAGTTGATGGAGAGACTGCCATGTAGGGAGAGTGTCTGTTTGCCGTGTGGAAACAGTACTTGTAAAAATTTATCCTTCCCTAGTCCTGTTCTTGCACCATATTAGCCCATTTGTTCCCAAGGAATCAGATACTGGATTTCTCGCTGCTCTGTATAATATTGCCGGTCAAAGTTTTATAAACTTTTTTTAAGCAAACCATCCTTCAAGTATTTAATTTTGGCTGTTTTTTTACCTTCACGCCCTGTCAAAGATATTTTATCTCATTTTCTTCACTCCTCCTCCTTTTCCTGCTGAGTAAAATGGAGGAGAAAGCAAAAAATGAGAGGAGATTGAAAGGAAGAAAACTAGGGCAAAAAATCTCAGCAAAAAATCAGTTTAAATTCTTCTGTAGAAAATTGGTACCATTTTTTGACTCTGGAGAAGGAGGGGTTGCTCCTTGCTTAGGGCTTTTTTGCTAGGGTTTTTTTTTATCCCCCAAGAATGACGTCAAATGCAACTGTGAATTGCCTCTGTGTTCCACATTTTTTCTTTAAAAGCCTGTGTTTACAGTGAAACTGTACTCATAAGCATATCCATGAGAGGTGCCTTCAGGAAAGCCATGTTTAACTCAAATACACAAAGCCCGAATGTTGTGAAATGCCCCCTTTAGTCAGGGGAGTACAAGTTTATGTGTAAAGAAAGTATGGACTTGTAAGTCTCAGTATCACCTTGGCAGTAGAGGACAGGTCTGTGGTTTTCCTGGGTGAGTTGACCAGCTGTGGCACAGCTTGCTTAGACTTTTGCCATTCTCACAGTGAACGAAAAGCTCAGGTCTTGTCAGCAAGCTCATTAACTATGTAACAAAATAAAATCTTATTTAGAACATATGACACTGATGGCCTCTAGGCACCTTTTGAATATCAAACTCACTCATGTTCATTTTATTCAGCAATGTTTTAAATTCAGTCTTCACCAGTTCAGTATATGCAGTGGGTTGTTTTAGCTATTACTGTGGGCCCTGCTCTCCCTTCCCACGTTATTTTAATGACAGCCTTAAAAAAAATCCAACCACAAAACAACCCACAAAAACCCCTACAGGAAAGCGATTTGGAATCAAAATACATGTGTGAATTAAGCAGCGCTTTGATTATAAGCTGAATTGCTGCAATAGCAGCAAAGTGTTCTCTGTAGCTGTCTCCTGATGAAAGAGCATCCCAGTCGGTGCAGTGGAGCTCCCGTGGCTGGGACGGGAGAGGAGCCCAACGTGCTTCTTGCCTCCTCCAGTGCAAGTGAGAAACACCAGCCAGGCAAATAAAAGCTCTGGTGGGACTTGACAGCTTGTGTGTCTCTGATCCCCTCCCCAGCTCGTATTGATGTGTGGTTTCTGCCGCCAGAGGGCATAAGCAGCATTGGGATATAGTAGCGAAAGAGGAGGGAAGTGGGAAGAAGCTTTTTAGGATGCTTCATGTGTGTAATAAACTTCTCCACCCAATATTGAACAGCTCCAAGAAACGCTTTTGTTCTCCTTGTTGCTTCCAGCATATTCAGGTAGGAAATAAGCTTTGGATGATGAATGCTCAAATTGGCAGGGGGGTAGGTCCTATTGGATGGATGTGGGATAGACGTAGGATGTCCTTCCCCAGTGGCACTTGTGTACAAAAGGAATGGCAGGTGCTTTATTCTTGTATTGCCAGGCATAACAGCTGAGGGATATTAGTGTTGTCATGCTTTTGTTCCTGCTGGCAGGAACAAGCATGATCCTATCCTGTCGGAGCATGATGAAGGATCCCCTTTTCTCTTGCAGTATGCAGTGAAAAGAAAGCACCAGTCCAAAAGAAAGGTCCGGTCTCCCTTTCATATGTTGAATTGCCAGCTGTAAGGCCCAACAAGTCTTGCAGCTGTGCAAAACTTGTGCAGATGCTTTTAATAAGCTGTTTACTTAAAAATATTGTGTTGCTGAAGACACTTTTCCTGCAGTTGTTTGCCCTGCTGCATTCCAAGAAAGCTTTCTTTTATTCTTCCAGTGAGCAATGCTGATGCTGTGGATGCAGAATATAAGCAGGCAGAAGCTGTCGTACTGTAGGAATCAGCCAGTTGTCTTTCATGCTAGCATCTGCAGTGGGTTTTGTTTTTTTGGATGTGTGAAGATCAGCCTTATTTCTTACTGCCTTTCCTTTCAGAGTATTGAATGGGTATTCCTACTTCATACTGATTGGTCAAGTCGCTTTTAGTATTTTCTTTGGGCAAACTCGCTTCACCTGTGTGAAGTAATGGTTATATATATACTGCTGTCTTAATGGCACTTGAAGTGTGTGCAGGGTTTCACAAGCAAGACAAAGTCAGAGCTTTCTAGAGGATGTGGTTGGATTTGGAAACTCTAAATGGGACACTTTTGAGGAAAATGAATTTCTGAAAAATAAATACTAAGCACTCATTAGAAATCGGATTTCCTATGATCCCTCAAGTTAGGACCTAAATTACATTGGAAAACCCCAATGAAAACGCCTGGTAGGATAAGCTTACACAATTCTTTCTCCCCTCCCCTCTCCTCTGTTTTCTAGAGTGCTCGGTTTCCTTTTTGAAATTTTGTAGGCCTCTGTCGCAATGGCACTTTGAAACAGTAACTTCATGTGTGTGTTGTTTCACAGTAGAATCTAATGTACAAAGGCAGGCAGGACAGTGTCTGCCAGTCTATTAATCTCTTCTGAGGAATCTATATGGGCTTTCTCCACATTTATCTCTTCTTTGGTCCTCACAGCCTCACACCTTATCCAGGACACTGCCTACTGGCTGGATCTAGAGAAGTGCTAAGTTCTTGTTTTGCATTGGGTTTTTCTGAGCGCTTGACGTGAGAGACAGGCTGTCATTAGGAAACTCTAATGTGCTTTAGTTGTAGTTACTTGTCCTGTATGTTCATTCATAGGAATCTGAGAATCTGAGGCTTATTTCTTCAGGTGTCTTTTGGGACTGTGCATGAACAGCTGCTTAAGGAGAAAGTTTGGTTTTTGAGAAACCTGGGTGAGATGCAAAGATGCAAAAGGAGCTGGGCAGATGCAATGCTGTTGGTGCTGTTTGTGTGCTCCAGTTGCCGTGTGCTGGAGGGGTGCCTCTGCAAACTGCTATGTAGTCATCTCAAGATGGTCTTTTCCAACTGTTAGTGGCTGTTTTAACAGTTAAAGAGTGGGTATAAGAACATGATCTTTTGGTGCCCATGTTGTTGGCAGACTGTCTTTGCAGATCTCTGTGCCCACTGTCCGCTCTAGTTCATTATCACCATTTTTCCCAGCAATTTGCATAGAATCAGTGTATTTCTTTTATTTTCTTGTATGTTAAAATTTTGTGTAGCCTTAACCAAACAATATGACATAAATGTGATACAACTGCTTTGATTCATGGACTGGTAATTAATTACCCTGTATTAACCTGGTACTTGTACAAACAAAACAGGTTTTCCTGCCAAGCTGGACTCAAGGTGCTCTTTGTCACAGTTTGTGCCCATGATTTTCTGTGTTCATCTTTATTAGATTAGCTATAATTGAATCCTAAACCACATTTAATCATGTGTTGTTTTTTTTTAATGCCTCTCTCGCCACTTTTGTGGCTAAAATCAAAGCAGTTTAATGACCATGTGCTTTTCCTTTCCTGTTCTGCCTCGTTTCTTTTGGCATCTTAGCAGTGCAGGGGACCCATGGACTCTTCCAACCCATTTAATTTCCATGATCTGATGTTCACTTACGATGCCATGGCTTGAGGCAACAGTACCTGGGATTTCTAGATAGTCTTCTATCCAAGTCCTGCAGAGGGTCAAGATTGCTTAGTTTCTGATCTAGACAAGATCAAATGGATTCACCATGGATTGCCAGAGACTTTGTTTGCATCCTTGTTCACTGATTTACATACATATATTTCTGTTCAAATACACACCTTTCTTTTTGTTGACCTCTTCAGGTCCTAATTAAAAAAAAAAATCTCTTCAAGTGCATGTTTAGTATATGAAGGATATCTTTTAATGGAACAGTAAGTTCCTTATCGTTATGAGTGGAGCAATTCATATACTTAAATGTTTGCTCAGATGGCCTCCTGGCTTGGCGCAGTAGAGTGGAAAGACCAACTTCTGTAGAGAGGTATGTTTGCAGACTGCTGGCAGATGTGCTCTATCTCCTGTCATGGCTTAATAACATTCGATAAAGTTCAAAATATGAAAGCTGCCAAACCAAATCCTCAGTCCTGTAGAACTGGTATCGTTTTCAGATGCTTTGCATGTTTCAGAGTTGACAGCTCAGAGCCTGAAGCAGGTGCTCTCTGAGAGACCCTGGCCACACAAGGACCTGTCTGGAAGGTGATGAGTACTGGGTGCTGCTCCTGGGCTGCCCATTTTGCACTCCTACCTTCCCTTGAAGGTGTTACTAGGCGTTTGTTGTGCGGGTCATGGTTTCAGCCCTGACTACTTGCAGATGGGTAGAAATTTGCCATTTATTCTTGCATTCACTTCAGTGTGTCACTATTCCTTCCTTTTCCTCTCACTCCCCCCTGCCCCCCAGAGCAAGGTATTTCTGCTATGAAGCTGAACTTTATGATCTTGTCGAAAAAGTGGAACTGAAATGGTGCTCCAATTCTCTGGGAACGAAACTGTCTCTTTTTAGCACATTCTCCAGGCTTTTCATCTCTTAAGTATATGCCAAACGTGGAATTAATTGGCTTTGCAAGTAGTCAGTAATCTTCTTTGTGATGCCAGTTAATGGAATTGACACTTTATTAAGACAAATACCATTACCCTAATAAGAAATCTAAACATATGCATTTTTGAAAATATTTTAGAACTGCTATATGCCATAAGTCTTCTGTCCAGCCTCTTAAGAAGCCCGAGGAAGCACAGGAAATGCCAGTAGTTTTCAGTAATTGAGGAGAGCAGTTGGGCAACTGCATTTTGTTTAGATGGGGGAATTTACTGGCGTTGACTATCTGATAATAAATAGCATATAACATTTATGTTGGATTTTGTGTGACTACTCATGCATAAATATCACCATGTGGTTTATTGCTTTCCTCAGTTTACTGTCTAGAGCTACATCTTTGTGGGCATATTCATTCCTAGACCTACAGGAAAGCACCAGATGTCTTGGCCCTGTAACTGGAGAGCCTACTGAAGCATTGAAGCCCAATTTACAAAACCTTCCTTGAGCTTTTTTCCTTTGATAAATTCAAAGCACATCTTTCACCTAGGACAAAGTGGAAGGAAAAAAGATAAAGACAGCTTCTGACTTTCTCCACAGGGGCAAGTCTCCAGTGTTTTTGCTCTTGCCTTACTTTGTTGCTACCACAAGTAGGTAATCTACAGATTACCTCAAAGTTTAAAATTTTGAGATGAGTATTGATTGGTAGGAAGGTCACATGTATTTGCATTCTTTGACTTGGTGAGCATAAGCTTTAGGGTGGTATTTTATGTAGCTAATATTCATGGTAAACATGGTGACACTTTATTTTCCCCTCACCCCCCCCAAAATTTTTTTTTTAATTTCTTCAAATATTTGCATTTTTTTTTCTGGACAGCAAGAAGGTTTGCAGTGCATGAAAATGGGGACAAGCACAGTCTGTATGGCTTACCTTCAAAATTTAATCAGATTGACAGCAAATGTTGTTATTTTTTATGCCTCTTTTAAAAAATGAAATCTAGGTTTCATCTGCACAGAAAATTCTCCTGAAATAAGCTGAAGTGGCAGTTAATGCAACAGTATAACTGCTTACCTGGTTGTCTTTATTTCAGTACAGCATTGCTCCTGTTCTGATAGCTAGAGTTTTTTTGGGTAGCTTCCACCTCGTGATGAAAGTGAGCTGAACCACTTTGTAGTTACTGTGGTGGTAGGGCCATGTCCTTAGCCTTGAAGAGCTTATAGGCTGCAGGTGTTTTAACTAGTATGTCCAGTGTTTAAACTTTCCTCTCTGCACCTTTCAGTGCTCAGACACACGATTAAGATACCATTTGGGAACTAGTCTGCTTTAATTGCTTATGGTGTATGCAGAGTAATGTGATTTACTTTTTTTTCTTGCCTAACCCTCTTTTATTGCAGGTTAAGCTGTGCTTGCAGACAGTTATTGCACCTTAGCTGCCCAATAATAAACTGTTTAAACCACTGTAATTTTATCATATGTCTGGACCATCAGACACAAGGCGTTTAAGCACCACCTAAAAGAAATCATCGTTTAAAAGCATCACGTAAGCTCAATATAATTCAAACAAGTACAATCTGTGTGTATGAAGAGGAGATGTGGATGCTTTTAAGAAGCATCTGCTTTATAAATATGAGCTATGAAAGGCTTCCAAATGTCCCCTCTGTTCGTCAAATGTGAATGTGATCTTCTCCTAGGAAGCCATCTGGAGTAGGCATGCTACAGTCGCTGCCTTACTTGGTGCCATTGTCCTGTCTGTGCCTCAGACTAACTTGTCTCGCTACTGCACACTCAGTATTAGTGATTGTTTCATTGGTTCTTTGAATGTCAAGTTTGTTGCCAAGCTTTGGCTCATCATAAAAATATTCTGTCTCCAGTGTGCTATTTTTTGGAAATTTTTATGATATTTTTTTTTCCTGCCTTCCCCACAGAAATATTGTGAAAGGAGTGAGGAGTCTGCGAGAACTACTACGGACTGTGGAAACCAAAGCTACTCAGACCTTAAAAATGGTAAGGGGAATGAATGGGAGATGGGAAGGTGGGGTAATCTGCTGTGCAGGAATGACATCTGTTTATTAACCAATGGAATAGTACAAAAATGTGTTTGTCCTTACTTGATTGTTGCCTGCCTTTTTTTTTTTTTTAACTTTTTGAAGTGATGTGCCAAGTGATGCACTTAATTCAAAGACCTGCCCAATTGAAACCTCCAAGCCTTCAGACCTGGGCATGTGGGTCACTTTTGGGGTTTTTTTCAGTGTGTTTTCTAGTCCTGGTAGAAACAGGGATGTATTTAGTTTGACAGTGCTGTCCTCAGGTGTTAATGTCTTGTTTTCTTTCTCACTTTTCAGTTTGTGCATGCACACCTTTTATGCATTTGCATGTAGAAGCATTAAGTACTTCTACAAGCAGTGCTTTTTTAGACTCAAGTGCTTCAGTGTTCTTCCTGTGAAACTCCCTTCAATTCAGTACAGTATAGAGTGATTTTAATTTTTTTTAATTTGTTGGTGGTGTTTGCATTCTGCATCCTGTTATCCTGAGTGCCTCTGGTAAAGAAATCATGGAAAAAGTTATTTATGTGCCTGTTTAACTTCTTAGACTTTTAACTGGTTCTTTCCTGTCTCCCCATTAAGAGATCTTGTCCTGAAGTTACTCAGAAGGTGACAAGGTCAACAGCACGAAGAATAGCAGTTTTGAGAGTGTGAATTAAAACTTTGCAGCCCTAAAAGCACCGACATTGATACGACTAAACTTGTTTTGTGCTTGGTTCAGATTTATGTTTTGTGTAATTCCAGGCAAGTTCAGCAAGGGAGATGGGCATGGGTTGGCATGGCATTTTGGAGATGGAGAGTGCCAAGTTCCAATGGATGGACTGGCTGTATGTCTAGCTCACATGCAAATGCAGAGCTAAAAAGAAAGTAGGAGCAGAAAGGGTATCCTGCGTGATTTTTTGCCTAGATTCCTCACATCTGTGTATTTTGGAACTTTTGTTCTGGAAATGAATCTTCTCGTTGCCTTGGGATCACCTTATATGCCTAATTGAGAATACAGATGTATGTGGAAGTTTGTGCAGGGAATCAGAAGAGGTGACTTAAATAATTGTCATGCTCAAATGGTTGCATCCTTTTCCAGATTGAGATCAGGGTTCAGGGGATTTTTCTTGCTTGCCTGTTCTATCGTTTTGCTGAAATGAGCCTAACCATCTGCCATTCCTGTACCATGACAGAATGTGGCATTCGAGTGCTCCTGTCCCTGTGCAACTGGGGTGAGCTGTACAACACCCATGGGGGGATTTATCCCTGAGGGGAAATCTGAAGGTGTTCATCCAATAGTTTTTCTTGGGATTTCCACTTTACTGGAAGTTGTATTTTAATTTTCTTACTTATTTTTAAAGAGCTGTCAAGAGGGCAAAGGGAGAAATGTGCTTAATTAAACAAGTTTTTCAAGCATGAAAGTGAAATACATGATTTTTTTTCCTAATCTGTGGGATCACAGTGTTCCTCAAGCATAATGATGCTTTTTTTAGCTGAAGGCAGTAATAACATAAATCAGTGTCCTGGCCTGTTCTGGTTTGTTTGGTCTTATTCAAAACAAGAATGGGGCTAATTTACACAGCTACTGTACTGTATGTTAAAATCAAAGACACTAAAAAAAAGTATTTGCTGCTTGCCTTTTGAAAGGCTTATCACAAACTGTACTCCTACTTCTGCGTGAACCAGTAGAGATCTTTCTGTTGCTGGCATATTATTTTTCCCTTTCCCTCCCTGTAGGAAAAAAATATAGGAGAGGTGGCTCCTCAGGGTAAAGCTGACTAAATAATTACACACTGAGATGATAAAATGATACTGGCTAATGTTGCAGGCCCATAGGCCGTTTTGCTCATGGTTACTTGCTATAAAAAGCATAGAAAAACCTAGTTAGAAACAGAAGGCTTTCTGTAATTGTCAGTAGGAGTGCATGGAAGGGCTTGGGGTTTCCAGGGAGTTGTATGTGACAATATGTCTTTGAGGCACCATCATGCTTTCAGATCACTTTGCCATTTGCTAGGTACATCTATGAAACCTCCCTTTCTGGTGTTTAAGAAACAGTGCACACTACTGTGGTTGCATTTTAGACTAATTCAGTTAATTCATGTGTTCTGAGGTGGGTGAAAATTAGGAACCTTGCATCAAAACAAGCTATTTTTCTGAATCTGGTAACAGGGACTTTAACCTCAGTATGATTTATTTGGTCCTGTACTGTCAAACCTCAAGTTGGAGTAATGCTTCAGTTTATCAGTCATACCTATCCTGGTATTTAAAAGAAAATGTCTCTTGGTGGCCTCATAAGAGATCTCAAAGTGTAAATTACGTATAAAATTCATATGCAGTAGTCAGAGAAGTTCCAAAATTATATTTACAAGCATTAGGACAGAAGGGCTGAAGTTTCAGGCTGACTCTGTTCTGTGCAGTGTTTCCTTTACAGCTTAGACTGCTCTGCTGATTAGAGTTCACAGAAGATACCACCTGTTTTGATGTCTCTGTGCTTGTTTGCATGTTCATCTCTTTAAAATGCAAAAATTTAGAGATTTGTTGAGTGGGGGACAAGGAAAAGTGACAAAGATAGTTTTGCAGAGTCAAGTTAACTTGTGCCTTTTTGGGCCCTGCTTGCTAGCTATGTGTATGAACTGAAAAGCAAGTATTTAAGAATTCTTGGCCACTCAATGGTCAAAAAAGTGCATGCATTGTTGTTGCCTCAATATAAAGTTCCTAGTCCTCTTCTCACTCCATTATTGTAACAAAAAGAGAGAAGCAGTGCCAAGATGAAGCTATAAAAGGCTGCAGGAAGAGCAATATTAACAGACTAAGGGTTGATCTTTTAAACCTAATACAAAAGTAGCCTCTGGGCTGGGACTTGCGTACAAAATTCTGCGGCTGAGAATGCAGTGGAGTGCCATCATACTTTGATATAGTAAGATTTGTGAGATTGTCTCAGTGGTCCGTGTGGCAATCGGTTGTCTTCATTCACCAAAGCATCCCTTGCTGTTAGGCAGTTTTGGTGCTTTTTTCCTACAGCATTGCAACAAGACCATGTAAATGCAGAAGGCTGAGGAGGGAAGAAACCGCCACTGCTGTAGACTTCTAGCAGCTGTTTTAGCTACTCTAGCTTTCTGAAAAGTGGTCCTGTCATGTTGTTGGTACATCTCCTTCCCAAGGTGGAACATGGGGAAGGGGGGAGTCTTTTGTGTTGGAGAAGGCTTCACTGATGTCTTTTTCTGTACTGTTTGCTCATCTCTAGACTGCAGCCAAACAGCTAGCCCAAGTACTTCTCCATTCCCTCAGTGAAGACTGTTACTGGAGCCCTTTATCTGATCCGCTTCCTGAGTTCATGAACAAGGAAGATCAGTCTTACGTTAGCAATCTTCTTTGTCGGAGGCCTGAGCTGTACACAGAAGAGAAGTAAGCATTCTTTTTTATTTCAATATTTTGGCAAGAGGAAGGAGAGTGTTTGAACACTCTTTGGTACTGCTAATTATGTCACCGATTCATGTAGTAGTTCTGTGTGTTCTTGTTTTTAACTTCCCATCAAAAGGCCTGCTGGAAAAATAAAGCATTAAAACTTGAGTGTTTAATTTTATTTTTTTTCCCAGGAAGGAAGAAAATCCAACCAAATAGCTCTCTTTGCTATGAAATGGAAATAGTCTATTTATGGTTCAGTATAGCTCATCTAGGATATATTGCAGAGCTTTTAATTATGAGAACCTGCAAAAGAAGGTATTGCCTAGCAAATGAATTATGCATGAGATGTTTCAAGTTACCGCTCTTCTTGTGAAAGGAGAAAGAGACTGACAGGATAATTCTTGACCTTCCTCAGAAAAATGTGTTCTGTCTTTCAGTACGTACTGCCCTCAAGACAACGTAGAAGAGGCTCTTCTTCTCCTCTTAATCAGTGAATCCATGGTAAGCCAAAAATGAGTTTGTAATACTAATAGTACAAAGGAATACCTAGCGTTTCTATGTCAAGTATTCTGGTTGGTTTTGTTTATGGAATCTTTGCTAGATAAATAGAAGGAAGGATTCAGCTGTTGAACAGGAAGTGCTGTTTATTCCTTTGTTAGTGACACCACTTTTATTAAATAGAATGTCAGTGAAGGGTTTTGGGAATTGTCAAGAAGAGGAAGTGGCTGCATTTGCCATAGTTGCATACGGGTTCTGACATTCAGATACATTGTCAGTAGACTGATGTTTCCATTCAAAACATTTGTGTGGATTTATGGATCAAGAATGAGAGGAAGAGAGCCTTGTCTAAAGCCCCAGGCATGGTTGTGGTACCTGCTGTTTGGTGTTTGCAAGATACAATATCCTGCTTACATTCCTTAGTCTGCAGGGATAATATTTTAGCTATTTCAGTCTTGAATGATCTTTGGCAAGTTTTGATGCTGATGATACAGGAAGTTTTGTCACATGCAGAAACATCCATAATGAATTACAGTAAAATAATTAGATTTCTTCTACTTAGAACATCTGTTGCTTTAAAAAAATCCCTTTAAGAGTGGCAATCGGTTGTCTTCATTCACCAAAGCATCCCTTGCTGTTAGGCAGTTTTGGTGCTTTTTTCCTACAGCATTGCAACAAGACCATGTAAATGCAGAAGGCTGAGGAGGGAAGAAACCGCCACTGCTGTAGACTTCTAGCAGCTGTTTTAGCTACTCTAGCTTTCTGAAAAGTGGTCCTGTCATGTTGTTGGTACATCTCCTTCCCAAGGTGGAACATGGGGAAGGGGGGAGTCTTTTGTGTTGGAGAAGGCTTCACTGATGTCTTTTTCTGTACTGTTTGCTCATCTCTAGACTGCAGCCAAACAGCTAGCCCAAGTACTTCTCCATTCCCTCAGTGAAGACTGTTACTGGAGCCCTTTATCTGATCCGCTTCCTGAGTTCATGAACAAGGAAGATCAGTCTTACGTTAGCAATCTTCTTTGTCGGAGGCCTGAGCTGTACACAGAAGAGAAGTAAGCATTCTTTTTTATTTCAATATTTTGGCAAGAGGAAGGAGAGTGTTTGAACACTCTTTGGTACTGCTAATTATGTCACCGATTCATGTAGTAGTTCTGTGTGTTCTTGTTTTTAACTTCCCATCAAAAGGCCTGCTGGAAAAATAAAGCATTAAAACTTGAGTGTTTAATTTTATTTTTTTTCCCAGGAAGGAAGAAAATCCAACCAAATAGCTCTCTTTGCTATGAAATGGAAATAGTCTATTTATGGTTCAGTATAGCTCATCTAGGATATATTGCAGAGCTTTTAATTATGAGAACCTGCAAAAGAAGGTATTGCCTAGCAAATGAATTATGCATGAGATGTTTCAAGTTACCGCTCTTCTTGTGAAAGGAGAAAGAGACTGACAGGATAATTCTTGACCTTCCTCAGAAAAATGTGTTCTGTCTTTCAGTACGTACTGCCCTCAAGACAACGTAGAAGAGGCTCTTCTTCTCCTCTTAATCAGTGAATCCATGGTAAGCCAAAAATGAGTTTGTAATACTAATAGTACAAAGGAATACCTAGCGTTTCTATGTCAAGTATTCTGGTTGGTTTTGTTTATGGAATCTTTGCTAGATAAATAGAAGGAAGGATTCAGCTGTTGAACAGGAAGTGCTGTTTATTCCTTTGTTAGTGACACCACTTTTATTAAATAGAATGTCAGTGAAGGGTTTTGGGAATTGTCAAGAAGAGGAAGTGGCTGCATTTGCCATAGTTGCATACGGGTTCTGACATTCAGATACATTGTCAGTAGACTGATGTTTCCATTCAAAACATTTGTGTGGATTTATGGATCAAGAATGAGAGGAAGAGAGCCTTGTCTAAAGCCCCAGGCATGGTTGTGGTACCTGCTGTTTGGTGTTTGCAAGATACAATATCCTGCTTACATTCCTTAGTCTGCAGGGATAATATTTTAGCTATTTCAGTCTTGAATGATCTTTGGCAAGTTTTGATGCTGATGATACAGGAAGTTTTGTCACATGCAGAAACATCCATAATGAATTACAGTAAAATAATTAGATTTCTTCTACTTAGAACATCTGTTGCTTTAAAAAAATCCCTTTAAGAGTAAGGGGAAAAGGTGGAGAAAAACAACTGCATTGAAAACTTCATGGTAACCTTTGATCATTTTCATATTCTGAGAAGATGCAAACATACAGAAAGTGTGTGAGGAATGTTTTCTGAAAACATGTAAGGAAAGTTACTTTGCTTTAAATGCTGGGTGGTTACTTGTAGCTCAAAGTGAGATTTGAAAACCTTGGAGCATCAGTCACCCTCTTGGGAACTTCTAAACCACTTTCAACAAATTGAGAAGAGATATTGTGGAAACTTCATTTTGTGTTGTTTTTTTGCTTCCTTTAGTTTCTTTGTCTGGTTCTTCTGTCTCAAGTCCTTCCCCTTTCCTGCAGACTTCTTCAGAACATGGCAACTTGATGTTGTTTGCTTTTAAAATTTGGGGAAAAATTGAAGAGGCAGAACTACCCCAAATATTGACTTAAAAATCACTGAGTGTTACTATACTTTGTGCTTTTTAGTGGTTTCTATATTAAGCTTCTACAGTACATCTGCTTTGTATTTTCAAGAGCTTTTCTGCAGTTAAGAGTTTTTTTGTAATCGGAAGTGGAGACTTCAGGAGTGAGGGCTTGTAGAACACCACATGCACTTCTGTTAAAATCAGAAGAACTCCTGTCAGTGTGGCTTGTCAGGGCTGATCCAAGTGGGAGGAGGATCATGGGTCTGGGTCAGCAACAACACTCGCTGCTCCAGCCTTTTCTGGGACTAGGCTTGCAATCAGAAAGTCCTTGTGGGACCATAAACTCTGTGATCTTGTTCTGCTGAGGTGAATGAAAGTTATCCCTCCTTTATGGGACAGCATGTAAAATGGCAGACTCGTCCTGTAACTAAGTTACAGATGAAGCAATATGAAAATGCTGCTGATAGGAACTGGACTGCTGTGCTGACTTCAAGGCTAAATAAATAAGCTTGTGTTTGCTTAAGTGCTGTCTTCTATATATAGGAATGATCTGGAGGCAGATGCAAGGCATTTTGATGTGCTGCATATAAAACACTTAATCAAACATCCTGTAGTAGATCACTGCAGGAACCATACCTGCCTTTCCATTTTTCGGGAAATGGAACATCTGAGCTTTCCTCTTGCATTAGCAATAGGCTTGCAGCTTGTATAGCTGTGTATAGAGGTACGCTTAGGAACTAAAGGAATGTGATTCCTAAGTGGAGGAACAGAGGGGGCAATGTAATTCTTACATATGTTTGCAATTCATAAATATTTTCCTGTAGTTTTACTGTTACGGTACTAAGACAGGGAAAGTTTGTTTAATTTATGACATGAGACATCTTTTCTGTGACAGTTTTGTTGTAGGCTGGTGAGTTTTCTCATGTACAGGTTTGTTGTTTGTTTGAAGTTTATTGGTTTTTGTGTTGTTTTTTAAACTTGCTGAAGCTCATGAAAAATGAGTTAACAAGAAGCAGATTTCCAGTTGAGGTCTCCCTAATGATATACAGTTAACAACTGAATAAAACATACTTTCCTTCCTGGAGAGAGCGTCAGTGGCAAGCGATAATGGTATGTTTCTATAGGGCAGTAAGCAACATAGTTTGTGTTCCTGGATTTTTGGCTGGATTAGGCATTTTTTGAGTATTCACAGTTTTGAACCCCTTAAAATGAAACAGAAGTGTATGATTAGGTTGGCTTACTGGGAGCTCTCCAGCTTCTCTGACACCAGAAAGGTACTTTTTCTGTCTGATTTTTTAAAGAGACAAAAGAGCAACCATGCCATTATAACTCTCTTGCAGCACTATAAAGCCAAACAGCTGCTCCACATGCCTGTTCCTGGCTTTTGCCACTGCAAAATGAGCTCAAGGGGGACAAAATCGGGGAGAGGTAGGACAGGAGAATTGTCAGCACATGGAGGGGGACAGAACAAAGATGTACTAGGGAGGAGCATAAATCATCAGAGAACCTCAAAGTAAATATGTGATAAATTTGGTGATGGTAGCTTTTTCAAGAAGTATATATCTGGAACACCTTTTTTTTCCCCCTGAGCCCTACAGGGAGGGAGTAGATCCGTGCTAGGTAGTTTGCTGCTAAAATTCACTTTATTTTTCTGTTTGTCTTCCTTTCCTAAGGTGAAGCTAACATCTGCTTCACCAGTATCTGTGCGACTCCCCAGAAGTTGTTACAGGTGTTACAAGAACTGTTCCTATAAGGGGGGAAGGAAGAAAAGAAATTGCCTTTAAGGTGTTGTGAGCCAGACCCTACGTTCCAGCACACTTCTGGCTCTTGGTGCTGGCTTCTGGCTTGTGATGCTGCCTCAGCTTTTGTTCTTATCCCTTTACCTTGTGTTGGAAGGAAGCCACTTTTCAAGTCCTGGTGGGATGAAATGAGAATATCTTCTAGCAGGGCAATTAAAGGTTCCTTCAGTATTTCACTCACTCTGCCTCTAAGCCTAAGTTTTTCAGAAGGCAAAATAACATGGTAGTGTCTTCCATAGTTTTGAAGATGCTTCTGTGAGTATATTAACACTTAGAGTGAAAGCTTGGGGTCTCTTTCCTGTATTCTTGCGGTCCCTTTGAAAACGGGAACCTATTTTCATAAGCTGAGGCATCTCGGTAAACAATGAAAAGCATCCCAGTTGTTGAGTTTGGCAAGTGCTTTTCCTCCATGCCAGCTGTTACTTAGTCACGGTGGTTGGCTGTAGAGTTCTCATGAAGGAATCTAGTGAAACAAATCAGGCAGCCTGAAGATTACCACAGTCGGGGTTGTCTTTAAGGGGGGTGTTGTGGCCTCCTGGCTAAATTCTCATTCCTTATGCACAGCCTGAGTTATGGTATGGATGGGCTGCGTTTGTGCGAGGAGGAAAACGCTCTCCCTCAGACCAAGGCGAAGGCCAGCTGGTGACAGCCTTT